GTGTTTAATATTTTTGTAATTACACACATTGTTTCACGTTTTATACTACTTGAACATACGTTCCCGATCAGGGAGGTACATCAAAGAAAATATTTAAAGGGCCTGATGCGCGATATACTTTGGAAACGTCTAAAATACTTTGATGGTATCACATTTAAGTCATTGTTTAACATTATTCATACAATTATTATTTTTAAGTTCCAATACAATAAAAGAACAAAATACATCAACTAAAGATTACGGTTAAGACGTGATAAAGGTAAATATAATTGGTTTGGGTTTTCTGTATTTGTAAGCCGATAAAATAAATAAATCGTCGTCAGAATAATTCGGTTAACGTTAAAGTTTCGACGTATAAAACCGGTTTAATAAATTATGTGTGCTGTGGCTCATAGCAGGGACGGGCAATCTAGTAATTAGAGTGCCAATCTTTTAAAAGTGAAAATCTAGTGGGTCAATTCTATGCGTTTTAGCGGACATTTATGAAACACTATACTAAACGCGAAAGTAATAAAACCAAAGCAATTGGCCAACACGACACGACGGACACGACTAAACTGATAATCTATTAGCTATGTTAACCGCGCCCCTATAAATAATATGATATTATGACATTTAATAGGTAATTTAACACTGCGTGTGTTGTGTCGTGCATTTAAGATTTATAGTAATATTAAAGACTCACTCATAACTACTATAAATTTAAGTTTAAACATTAATTCGTTAGTTATTTATTTATTCAAGTGCACTGAATAAATTATGATGAATTTAATATTTCATACCCAAAAATTTTCAATAATTTTTTTTATGAATTGAAAATATTCTATCAACAATACTATTTTTATTACTGTGATATAATATTCTGTAATAGGTAATCGATGATGATTTTTGTGATTTGGATAAATGTGCAGTTTAGTTTTTATTTTAAAATATGTTCCATAATTTTGGCAATTCACTAAGCACAAGGATGCATTTATGTTACGTATTAATGTGATCATAAAATCTTTATTAAATAAAAGTTAAAAATGTATTATATTACGTGAAAAATACTTTTGTTTAGAGTATGTGCTTATTATATATTTTGTTCTACGGACTCTAATTTATGATAGCGCGACAATGGTACAGAAAGTCGCTAAAACTCGACTAGTATTACTGTTTCGGCTTGATATATAAGTGAACTGCGAAAGATAATCTAACGACGTTATAACTGTTTTTAGAACATATGGCGGTCGTTCAAATACGGTAGCAATGATAATGTAATCATTAGAAGTCCCGGAGTGTTCTATTTGAAACTTGGGAGTTGCATTGAAGATAGATACTTTAGTTGCAGAAGTTACGTCTCTCCCATTCCTCTCTCCATCACTCGTCCGCGCGCGGTCTTCCCTATTTTCTTCTAACTCCTACCTCCTTCCGCACCACCATTCTGCATCGATGTCTCCACATATATCTGTCTTAGTATCGACCTCTGCTTCGTCTTTTATGTTCGTTTCAGTCGTCGATTCATTTGTTTGTCCGCGGAAATGTCGAAATAGTTATCACGTCGAAATAGTTATACGGAAAATGTGCAGATTCCACGCATGGCATATATATATATACGTAATTATACACATACAATCATGGGGAGTACATCAAACGCCTCGACGGATCACTTGGCAGTCAGCTTGCGTGTAAATAATTCGCAGGTCCCCCCCCCTCTTCAGTCACGTTACGTCCACGACGAAACGGATGGTTTACACTGCATCGGGGAGGGGGCTAAATTTAGTGAAGTATTACAATGTTGTATTATCACGATTTTACCCATGTGCATGTATTGTGTAAACATTCGTTCAAACAAGTCGGGCGAATCGATGAGCATATGTGTATAACAATCGCCAAAAGTCATTACAGTATAATATTATATTATAATTTCACCGAGCGTATACGAGAATGACGAGCACGATGAATTTCATACGACTCAAACTTCGTCTTTCTATCGTTATCGTTTGAACTATAATAATAGTTGATGCGTTTTTGGGTGCTCATTAAAAAATTTTCAGAAGACCAAATTAAAATTGTAATATCCATCTATGTTCTCGTACAAATGTTAGAATTACAGATATTACCGAGCACAGTATAAAGCACTTTTAATGGTAATGCGGATAGGACCATTATTTCAATTTTATCCCTCATTATGTGAAGACATTGTTGTTGCACATATTTTACTAGGAAAATAGAAACACTGCAGTATGTAAATAATTTCATATAAATTCTACAAAAACAACTTTGTACGGTTAAGTCCGATTTAAGGCTTGTTAGCATATTATAATAATGCTGAAATGTAAATAAATACAAAATATATTAGTTTCAAATGTTTCAATGCATAGTATAATTCGTTAAATAATTTAATTTTTTTATAGGAGTTGTGTAGTACTACATTATTTTATAATTGATATTGAATACGTTAATATGTATAATTTATGATTTATAAGTTGTAAAAGGATAGAAAAAAAAATACAAATAAAATAATAAATGATTTTTTTTTTATGATGATTATCAAACGAATTTAGCTCCAACACATTTGTTTATTACATATTAATTGAACTAAATAAAAAAAATCTTTGGAAAATTTTACGATTAATAGACTTTATAAGTATGATTTTAATTATATTCCTTAATTTATTCACGTAACATACATATTTAGTAGAAAGTTACACCCACTATACATTATAATAACTGATTATTAACTTTCATTAAAAATGAAATGTTATTTCATGAAAATTTAGTTATATCTTCCAAAGCATTATACATATATTTATAAATGTGTACATATAGCTTAATAATAATATTGATCATCTATTTACATTTTAATAAGATGTTTTAATCATATATCTAGATTGAAATAAATATAAAATTTTGATTAATTTTTTATGAATACTTGCTTGTAATATTAACATATTAAAAAATATGTTTTAATAAAATATTTAATGTAAACAACGTTAATCATTTTGATTGATTTGACTTTATTACCAATAAAATGTATACTCGTATGTTAGAATTTTTATAATAATTTGTTCAATATTTTATTAACTAATATCGACCATGTTAATAATAAATACAATAGATTTTCAACACTATACTAAATAATTTATACATTTTTTTATATTTTTTTAGATATACATAAATATAAGATGATTTTAGTATATGTTTTATACATAATACACTAACTACGTAATATATTACACGTCTCGCAGAAACTTTTTGATTTTAAGTCCCTTATAACATAAAAGTCATCTAACCATTCTACATATTTCAAATAGTATTGATACAATTCTGAAAGAAAACCAAAATATATATATTTATGTCTACACTTAAACCACGAAGAATAAACTGCACACTTTCGTACTCTTAAATATTTTAGCACACGATGGACAAACTATTAAAGCAAAAAAATTAAAATTTATAATCGATTGTATAAATGTTTATTGTGTTCTATCGAGTAACTGTACCAAAATAATCCAATTAAAACTTTTTTTCTTTTGTCATAGTTTATGAAAGCTTTTAACACTGTTTCCAATAAACTTTCATAGATACATCAAAGGAACAACAACAACAGAAAAAAAAAAACAATGATATAAATGAGATACACTTTAAACAATAAATTATATTAGAAGTGTGTCAACTCATTGAATTGCTTATTTCTCCGTTTTTTCTTCAATTCAAGTCAATAATTGTTTGAACACACAATATTTTTTTACACCTTGTAACTTCCATACGTATTTTTAATAATATTTAATTATGATAGCATGAGGTTTATTCGTGAATCTTACTGTGTTATTTACACTTTATCGTAAATTTAAAAAAAAAGTTATATCTTGAAATTAAATTTTGTAGAAAAACCGTCGTATAAAAAATGTTTTTATTTCTAATAATATCTCAAATTTATGTGAAAGTCACAGGTAACTAGTGGTACATAAGTATTAAATTACATTTTGATATATTAAAAGTATCACTAGTAGATCTCATTTTTTTTTTTTTACCATTAGTACTAAATTTGTATATAGTATAAGAACTTTATAAAAATATTGAGAAAATACTTTTATTTTGGGTCTAACTGTTTTTTTATTTATTATAATTTATGCTGTATTAACACTGAGTTAATTATATTAAAATAATTTTATTATATGGTAGATGAAAAAAAATCGTAACCTTATTGTAGTAAACGTAAAAAAACTAAAAAGAAAAGAATAATTCTCCAACCACTAATGTAAATTAATATGTAAGTACTATTATATTAAGGTTATACCAAAAATTCGTTATCGACTTCGGTATTCAAACAGAAAACCAGTCGACTAAATATATTGCTTCAAGGTGGAAGTTAACTAAATGTATTTCATTATACGGTACTTAAAGGGTAATTTAAATATTATGGTGATTTTAATAATATATTTTCAAGGATATCAGATTTTTATTTTACATTCGTTCTTGATTATAAATAATAAATAATTCAATTGGTAACATGCCGCATTTCAAAATCGACTATATCAAAGACGAAACACCGGCCGTGAATTTCAATTACTACGATGATTATGTTATTAAATTGAACAATGTGTGCATGTACAAAATTTTCATTATTTGAGTTCAAACGGTATCATCACAATAAAGTATAATGGAAATAATGTTTAATAAATGTTCATGATATTATGTCAAAAAAGTCATTATGATTATCAACGAAGCAATAAATTTAGTAGGTAGATACAATAGTCGCTAAAAAGAATGCAACGGTTAATAAGTAATTATATTGAAAAAATGCAATATTTTAGTTCACATTCTATGGAAAACTGTCTCGCTGCGCGATTAATGATTTCTATACAAATTATAATATTATATTCAGTCTGATATCAACGCGCGTGATCAAGGAAATTGCAATATTAAACGTGTATTTTTTTCACGCATAAATAAAGCGTATAATATTTGTCCCGTTTATGTCTATATAAATTAATAAGTATTTATGAGTTACTCACGACATATGTTCATTTTCCATCCGTCAGAAGAATCGACGTCGACCGATTGGTATTGGCGACCGTCCGTTTTGCTGTGTCTATTGTTGACGGTATCCGGTTTGCCACTTTCTGCACGACAGCTTAGTGTGTTGTCCGAGTCTTTGATCGTCGGCGTAAACGTCAGCACACTCGTAGTTATGTTACCATCCGAACTTGTCTGTTGAACAAAACGACGTTATGTTTATAATAATTGTGTAAGGATTTCAAAATAAATTTAATCATATTATTAATGCGTGAATGTTAAAATAACGGACATAGAAAATGATAAAACAGTGGTGTGCGGATGAGACTTATAATTACTATGAGGTACAACGGTGTATCTGTACTACGGTAGATTTTCTATAATATTTTAAATTTAATGTGTTGAATTGTAATAGCCAATGGATATGAAACACCAAGCAGTTCAATTACATTTATACCCATGACTTGCTTAATGTAATGTGAAAAAAAGAGCATCGTTTGAAATAACAACCGCCCATTGGTGGTTTTATAAATATACTGTCATTTTATATCAAGTAGATTTTGTTTTTTAACGTAAAACACACAATTAAAAATTCCTTTTCACATTGTATACCCTCATAGAAGATCTAATTTGACCTCGAAATTAGTGTTAACGAAAGTTGTTTATTATTTAATTGTCTCCCAACTTGCATCTAATTTGATTATTTACCTTCTTACTCACTTTGTAGAAATCTATTTTTATAAATTCTATATTTTTTTCTCTCTTTCTCCGCTGATAACTTAATATTCTTCAGCACTCTACACCGCTATACCGATTCTCACTAATTTACGTAAATATAAGTCAATTCGTTTTTACCATCAAATAAATAGCACAGATAAAAATGTAGAATTCAAAACTTATTATTGTATACATTACACATAATTACAATATAATATCTTATCTCAATTTTATATTACTTTATTGTTTTATAATATTTGCAATAAAAAATATTATTATTAGAGCAAAAGAGTTTCATTAAAAAAATAAATTATAAAAAAATGTTATCAAAAGAAAAATTATTATTTTAATACTGTGTTCATGAAATAAATGTGTACGTCATATAATAAAAAGGCTATCGTAACTTTTTTGACTTGATGCAATTATTAAAAAAATAAAATATAAAAAAATAAAAATACATGCTAAATTGTAATATCCCGATAAATTAATGTTTAGACTGTAGACATTACAATGGAAGACTGCAGCAGGCGTCTTTAAAATAATAGACCTTAAACACACCATAACGTATATATATATATATATATATAGAGACAACATAATAGATAAAGTACATTTTCTCGGTAACTCTTCAACATTTCATCACTTACCGCACACGTGTTACCAATTGGAATTAAAGGTTTCATTTATCTTTACGTAGGTCTGTCTCCTGTGCGCAGAAAACTTTCCGTTTATGAAATAAAACATATCATATGAACATTTTTTTCAAGAAGTTTCTCCAAATGGATTGGGTGAGTGGGTAAAGGGCAAGAGGATCATCATTAAATAGGAGGTATACATTAGCTGCTTTGTGTGGTTTTAAAATTAGTTTACTGGACCATAGCATATTCGGTGATGGTCACAAGATTTTTCATTGTAACTCATACTGGATTAAAAATGTAATTTTCTTCCTTTTTATTATGATACAATTTCATTTGAAAAATCGTCTAATCACCATTTTCACGGCTTAAATTGTGTCCTATAGTAAGTTAAAGTTACGTATACGTGAACCATGAGGATTGCTATCAAAATTAAAATTGTAATTAAGATGACGTCATATTCGCATTTTAATATGTTGTCTCTCTCATACAAAGTTATTACATAGCGAATGTGCGTTCAGTATAACCAATTTTGTGCTGTTGACTATTTAAATATTTAGCTAAACGTTTGTTTTTTACGATATTATAATTTATATGTTAGTTGTGAACATTTTTAAATTGTAATATTTTACATATAAGAACTCGTTTGAAAATAAATTAATCATAAAATAAACGTATACCTAAATACAAATACTATTTTTACCTTTAAGTTTGACAGTACATTAATTCACTCTAACAAGTCTAACATTAAAGCTAACACGACAAAAAATGGCTGTGGAGAATGAAAATTGCTATGCAAAAATGTAGGAACTCTTTAAAAAAATAAACTTTTATACGCAGGCAGTATAACTTACAGTAAAGTTTTAACATGTTAATACATTTTCGTGGATTGTGTAAAATATGTACTATACTATCAGTGATGTTGAAAATTAAAATAATATTTTCAGTTTTTTTTTTTTTTTTAACTCAGAGGAAGACATATAAAATGAAATATTTCAATGAATTGTTTAATATTTTTAGTAAACGGGTTATAGTAACGAAGGGCAACGCGTAGGTGTACATTGAAAAAAAACATCTTCCGATTCTGTGGTCAGAAAATAAAAGTTGAAACGACAAAACTTAATTTATTCGTTTAACATGTCGCTGCTTTGAATTTTATATGATAAAAAAATCTTTCTAACGACCGCAAAAGATCGTATTGTCAGCGTTTATATTTTGTTGGCCACGAGCCCACCACAAATGCCGACTCTGATGTAATATCTCGTTATGTAATCATACTCGTATACCTCTGCTAGCCTTTTTTTTTTCAATTTTCGTTTGGTTTCAGTAGTCATAAAGTTTACCGTTCTTAAATGAAATGTTAATGTTATAAACGAGATTAATCGGCCCACTAACAAAATGCATACTATTATACATTTACTTCAAAAATAAAAATTAAACGAATTCGTCAAAGTATCCTATAAACTCAATACTGTGAGTAATAAATAATTACATTTAACGTCCATAATTTAAATAAAAGGTTTTTATAATTTTTTATTTCATTTCTTTTTTTATATTTATTCAATAATTTAATTGAATGCATTCTGTATATACATTAAATAAGAACAACTTCAATGAAAATTTTTGTAGGTACACACAACGCACAAAGTAAAATTGTACAGTTAAAGTTATTGTGACAACGCATTGTTTGAAAGTGTTAATAAATACGTTTCACATCGACAAAAACAAAGTAATGCCTTAAAAAAAAAAAATAAACAGCGTTTCTACATTAATGTAATTGTTCAGAATAATTAAATTGCATACTAATACAAACACACGGGTGCCCACACACATACATATTTATATACTAGATATATAATATTTTATGTCATACTATATTTTATATGAAGCACGGTTTAACATTCGTATACAAATAATTATAATCAATTTTATTGAACGAATCGAGATGGTTCTGAGTTGATGTATATTTTACAATAGTTTTCATAATTTATTAACATTCAATTTGACATAATTTAGGTTTATAGTTTATTTATATTAATTAAATTTTATACTTATAATATATAGTACAGAATCATGAAAAATAAAAACATGAAATATTGCATAAAACGGTTCGCCTAAACTTCAGAAAACGTGCGTCTATGGATTTTAGGTCCAGTGGAAATTAATATTATATTTATACGTTGACGCATTTTCTAAAGAAAATACATTACTTGACCAATGAAAAATAATTACTGGTTGCATTCAACTGATAAATTTAAGTTAACTAGTTGTATAATGATACAAATATTATTGTACATAATGTATATCATAATAATATAAAACATTTAGAGTTAAGAAAAATAGTTAAAAAGAACATTAAATATTAAATAAAGTTAAAAAAAATATTAATTATATTTATAACATCAGTTTTAAGTTAATTTTTCACTATAAAATAAAATGAGTGTTGTCTCTTAACGCTCCTATGAAATACAAATAATGATAATATAAACATAGTTATACCTTGGGCCATAGATATAATAGTTTATTATGTGTTTATACTAGATTTTTATAAATGATATTCAAATAACTGATTTATATTATGTTTATAGTCTGGCCAAAGGTTTAAATTATATTACATGTTATTATATTGTACTAAATTATGTTTAAATAAAGGAATACCATTAAAAAGACCACACATTGTTAATACAAACATTCCCTGTACAGGAAACGGCTTTCAGTCGTATTTTAAAGTAATTTTTTGTTTACACTATCTTATTTCTTGTTATTAAATTCAATATTATTGAATTAATTCTATTTCTATTAATATCATATACTCTTATAATATCCGTATTGTCTTTATGGAAAAATTTCTAGAAGATAATGTCAAAACTTTTTTATTTGAGGTAAAACAAACAATATAGAATTGCATTTAAAATCGTTTAATTTTGTAGTGACGCGGATATGTCATAATATTATATTTTGGAAGTTGCTGGGGTGGCTTCTTGACCCACAACTTAAACCCCATACATCAAAGTTATTGAAGTTGTATTGTGAATGTCTAAATAATTTACCAAAATTCTAAGTCGGAATTGTTTCCAAGAAAGTTGGAACCTATAAAATTAGATGTATAGCTAGTCAATTAGATGTTATTTATGGCAGTTAATATTTGAATACATTTTATAATTTATTAGGTACATGTGTTTTAGTGAAATCAAGACAATGATAACTTGGCGACGTCATAAGTTGTGACGTGTGATCACGTCTTAAACAATTTTTATTTCCATAGATTTTGTAACGTTCTTATTATAAGATGATGGTTTTAAATCAGAGAAACGATCGCAAAGCATTATATTGTCTAATCGTCTAATTTTAATAAAGATAATTTCCACTGATAACAACACAGTAACCACAACTTAAAATAAAAATTTGTAAATGTAACAATACACGCGTGCACAATTATTTTCGGCAAAATTTTGATTTAAACGATCGCTCTTAAAGTATACAGATATATTAATCAGTTGGTGATAATTGATGAACAATTTTGATTTTAATACGTTCATAATTTTATGATAGTGTTCAGTTATTCTAAAAACGTAAATATTTTCATCGAAATACCAGTAGACATGTTGTCATTGCCTGTTTGAAATTATCCAATCGACTTTTATTTTTCATGAATTTTTACTCTTACTATCTGAACTGAGAAGTTATTTTTGCGCGATTGATCTGTTTTCCACCATCTATAGTTACCCACGCGCAGTTGTAGCAAACAAACAGTGCACGTAGTGCAACAAAACGATTGACCGAAAAACAAGAACTAAATTGACCTCTACACCGGTCTCGATATTTTAGCAGCCCCGATGAACG